AACACCGCGGTCGATTAAGCGTTACAATTTCATGCAGACACGCAGCGAGCAATCCATTAGCGCCGCCACTTATTCGTTGCGGCTTAATTCTCCGTAATTGAATTCAATTTTAATAATGTACGTTTTAACGTGCAATTGATGTGTTTGAAACGACAGTGAAAATACCGCCACTCAGAATCGTTACTACTGAATTAATCGTTAACTAATTAATCGCCACTTGATTGATTAATCGTTACAATTTTATGCAAGCATCATGGCTACAATTTATTAACTCGATATTTTTCTAATTCCATGACGAATAGCTGTACGACGTTAACAATTTACGTTTCAGCATATTTCTTTTGCTATTTCAATTATATATAAATTTTGTAAATTACTTCAATACTATCTAAATATTTTTCTAACAAAAAAATGTAATAAAAAGGTTTCCTAAATAAAATGAAATTGTCCTGTAACTGTGAAACACGTCAGATTCACCTTTGAATTTCGAGTGAAAATGTTCACTCAATTCAATTCAGGCTGGAGAATTCATCCCGTATGAATAAGAAATCACTGGAATTCGAATGATTCATCTGTCACTTCACTTTTCGCGAGAAATTTCACCCCGAGCAATTTAGAGAGTTCTAAATCTTGTTTGTGAAAAAACAAAAAGAAAGAAACCGTGATATTTCATATAGCCATTGTAACACGACGTGTCGCATCGATCTTGATGCTTCTCGTAACGTGGAAACCTTTTGTGCGAGTCTCGATGCGCGTTTATATAGTTAATGGTTGGACACGCGCTTGCATTATCTCGCGTATTAAATGCTGATGAGTGCCGTGGATAAGTGCGCGACATGCTCGTACGGCATGTGGAATTGTGCCAATGACGTAGGGAGCACAAACATCCTTATTGCGCGTGTGTCTCTCCTTGGTGGTGGACTCGAGCCGAGGATCTCAATTACACATGTCCTGTCCGGGCATTGAAATCACCACGCGCGCGCGCGCGAGCGTGTGACAAAGGCGAGCGGGACGTTGAACGGACCCAGAAGTCCGCGGAATCGAGATCGTTGTCGGGATATCCGTGTTTCGTGTATTGATTCCGTTTGATCTGCATAAGGCGCGTCGGGACGTGAACCGGAGAGAGAGAGAGAGAGAGAGAGAGAGACTTGTATACTGAGAGAAAAGTGTTTGATACGTATATACGGAGGAGAGAAATCGGTTGAGTCATCGTGGCAATGAACGGACCGAGCGCGTTTTGATCGAAGAAAACAGAATGTTTGCTTCTTACAACCAAATTCAATTCAACCGTAATTGAAAAAATTGTAATTAGCAGAGTTGCTTTTCTAGTAAACGTTTTATTTATTTATTCATTTATTTGTACGGGAGTATCCATTAGTACATAAAATGAGTAAATCTGTGGATATCCTAATTGCAAATTATCGATATTTAAAAGAGATGCGCTATAATATTAGAGCACGAAAACAAATGTTTGGTTGGCAACAGAATTTTCCGATGAAATATGAACGATTCAGGAATTCCGGCGGACAAGGTTATCAACATTCGATCAAAATTGTCAAGATTTCTGCTGAACCTGAATAGAATTCTGGTATTTTCAATTGGAATTTCCGAATCGTTTATATTCCATCAGATAACTCGTTCACTCGACTGATTATTTTTCTCTATGCGATAATACACTTAAATATATGTCATTATTCTTTTGCTGAGAACAACAAGGAGGTGAGAACGACAATTGAGAATGGCCTCCGGAAATGACTGTAGTTTCAATGGGATGGACCGGTCTTTTTTCTCTCAGTCCACAGTCGCCTCGTTTGCGACCGAGCAGAAGATGCGGTTGTATGTTACGCCACGAGGACTCCTTGAGACTCCTAATGGCAATCGCGAATCGAGCAGTGTTCGATAGCATGCCATTTTTATGTTCAAACCGAACGCGACTGACCTTTGCCGGGCGAGGACTTCTTCGTTACACGATCGGCCGAGTGTTCTCGTTTTAATTTACGCATTTAGCAGGAATAGACGTTTCACTCACGAGTCCGCTGGAATCCGTCGTGACGAGTGGGAAGGGCTTACATAAACCGCTAATGAGCGAGCGCGATTTTTCTCTTCCACCCGCGATCACGACCGCGACGTCATCAGCTTGCATTAGAGTTAATTTACGAACCAGCCGATAGAGTTGCGAAATATATGTGTGTATCCAGCGGGAGAAGATCGATGCGTTTTGCACTTTCGTAGAAACGAGTCCTCGGCGATCGCGTTGCGGACGCGGAGAGGACGACAACGCACGCGAGCGTGGTAATTTTTGTGGAAGTAAATGTGAACGAGTCGGCGAACTTCTCGGCTCAATGCGAGAAGGGCTTCTTTAGAAATTTTATTCACCGAGACAATCCTGTGCAGAGAGGGAGGGAGGGAGAGAGAGAGAGAGAGAGAGAGAGAGAGAGAGAGAGAGAGAGAGAGAGAGAGAGAGAGAGAAAGAGAGAAAGAGAAAGACGCGTTCGTCGCGTATAGCGAGCTCTGAAATATTTGTTCGTGTACGATGACATGCGGTCAGTTAATTTCTGTAATATTCTAAAGATAACATGTTGTCATTACACGTTGAATAGATAAAACGCTCCACATAAGTGTGTGAGTAGAGGTTTAACGATATTGCCGTCGAGAATTGCAGAATAAAAAAGTCATGAATATCGAAATTCTTTAAATATTCAATTACAGAGAAATTTCGCGGACCAATAAGAAGATGGTGCTTGCGAATAAATTATTTCTGTTAGGGGATGACGACACGAAGTATCGTACGTATCGAGAAATCTTCAAGTTTTCGGAGAAGTAAGCTTTTAAGTTGAAACTATCTTGTATCTCCATATTGCTTTTCGCACTTAATTAAAAGAGAAAAAAAATAAAAGACCTGCGTAACTGATTTTCTGTTGTGTAAGAACTGGATAAAAACTTGGCTGTAGCGTAAAAGAACAGAAAAATTCCTGTAGGGAGTTTTCCCGATCAGTTATTCGTTCTCAATTATCTCGACTGAGTTTCGAAGGTTCAGACAAATGCTTTCCGTTGCGATAACAGAGATATCGTCATCGAGTTTCGCTTGGTCTCCGTTTTTGTTACACAGGAACGAAAAGAAAGTCGCCCGCGATAAGCAGCTTGCAACAGCGGTAACCAGATTTCTTTCTCGACTGGTCCTCTTCAAGATGAGTGGGAACTTTCTTGGGGGACTGGAGGGTCAGATTGCTGAAAAATCGTGTTTGTTTTTGACAATATTTTGCGATGAACTGAATAAATGTGCAGGAATGAAAATTTTAGATATATTTATACAATATGTGAAGAGTAGAAAAATTTTGTTTATTAACAAATACTCATATAAATATACGATATATATAGCTGAAATATACTCTCCTTTTTTTTCAAATTGTCGTCTTTACAGTAATATAATCTCGGCTCTCGGTGGTCCGATCAGAGTGAATTTTAACTAGAAATCTTAAGGAAGCTTATCATTATCCGGTGAAGCACTATAAAAAAAAATCGAACATGATTAACAAAATGACAGCTATTATTAGGAAAAAATTCAAATTTTTCACATCTTTTACAATAAAAAAATTAATATCTCGAAATGAAATATTTTGACGGAGTTGTCCATGGTTCATCACCTGAGAGCCACATGAACAAATATTATTTCTTTAAAATTTCAAATCGATACGAAGCTCAGTTTCGGAGAAATCACTGCAAAAAGTTGAACAATAAAATTTCGAGAGAAATGCGTTTAAAATTTAAGTGGACGTATATTCATATGAATATTTGTTAACAAACAAAATTGTTCTGCTCTTCATATGTTATATAAATATACCAAAAATTTTCATTCTTGCACATTTATTCAGTTCGTCACAAAATCATGATCAAAAACAAGCACGACTTTTCAGTACTCTGACCCTCCAGTCCCCTTAAGGGGATTCGGGAAACACGTGAGCGACGAGGCGGCTTCGAGGAGCGGCGACGATGACCCCTAACATTTGCACTGCAGCGCAGCGTGTCCGTGCGTCTGGTGATTTCCGCGAGAGCGTGCGCGCGGATTTACTTGCAAATAGCAGACGACGGGCGAAAAGACCACTTTTGTAGAAAGGAAAGCGCACACGAGCGCGACACTCGAAAATCGCAAGTGCGGGGGCGGCCGTGCACGCTCGTCGTTCTCGCGCGAGAGTGTGTGCGGAATAAATTATCGCCGGTGCACCGCAGCTGCATCTCCATCGCGTTTCGATACTTTCTACTGGATTCTTCGCGTTGTCGCGGCGCCTCGGAATCCCGACGCACAGAACGTTCTGCGGAAAAGTACATGTGTGCAAAGTACAAATACGGATCTTTACGAAACTAGGAGAAAAAAATGTTTGCGTCTCGTCAAGTTTTCCGAAGAGAAAAATCGGCATCGTCTACAGCTGACTCTCTCATTGAGCCTCGGTCGAGGAAATGAAAAGTCCGAGTTTTCACTTCGTACTTCAGAGCATGTCAGATTTCTTTTGTACTTTTAAGGGGACTTTAATTTAATGAGTGGACTTTAATTGAATGAGTGGACTGTTCGAAAATTGCGAGGAAACGGCGTTCGGCCAGATTTCCGTCGAGGAAAAATCGAGGGCACCACTTTGCTGTCGTTATATAATACGTTAAGTCGAGTTAGTCGTTAGCACCTTTCCGAGCGCGAAGCGTTGTCACATGTCACGTTACGGGGTTGTGTTTCTCACGGGGGTGCCCGGAGATCTCCGGCGGAGATCCGGAGTGCGCGCGGAGGCGCGAAGGTATGACCGTTCGGTTTTGTTTTCGCCGATTTTTCACCAGCTTGTTCACTGTGCATGTCTCACTTTTCCAAACACTCTCCGACGAGATGGAACCCTCCGCAACCCCCTTTCTCGCGCGTCGGATGCACCAAGCCCACCCTGATCCGATGCCTCCTCGCCCATTTCTTCGCTCTCACGTCACTTTGTCATTCACGATTCGTGCGATGCACTGCTACTTACCATGGCTCGATCGCCGCGCTAATCACTCTGATGAGGAAGTCCGAGAAAAAAAAAGAAAGAAGGTACAGAACGGACACTCTAAAACGGACACATGCCTCGCGCGGGAGAGCTCGAGCGTCCCGGGAGGTGATTTCTTCGTCTGCGGGCAACGTGGAGAGCATTTATAGGATTCACCTGATTGCCTGGTGGGGAGCGTTCGGTCCATGACGATTATCGCCAAGCGAGACGTACGGCGCGGGAGGATGCTGTAATTCTTCTTCTTCTTCTTCTTCTTCCACACATAAGCGCGGCCAGGTGGGGGTTGACGGCTTGGGAAGGCTCGAAGGGAGCGGGAGAGATCGCGACAGCGAGCGAGAAAGGTAGGAGGAGAAAAAGGCAGAGAAAGAGAGAGAGAGAGAGAGAGAGAGTGTGTGTGTGTATGTGTCTAAGAGAGAGAGAGAGAGAGAGAGAGAGAGAGAGAGAGGAAAAGAAACGAAGAAAGTGAGAGTGGGAATCTCTCGTCGCGCGAAGAAGGACGGAGCCATCCGCGGTATTCCATAGGTCCGGCGCGCGCGCGGCGGATGCTGAATGGCGATCGCGAAGGACTCCGTGTTCGTCCCTGATCCCGACGAACGTCCGGAGACGCTGATTTCAGGCGCGAGGCTCAAGGATACGGCGCGATCGAAAGGGAGAAGAACGCTTCTTCTGATGTCGCCCGGCTGCCCCGGCCGGTGCATAACGCGCGCTCGCGTAGGCGTGAATCGCGCGGGGTTCGACGGCGACTTGATGAACGGCGTCCCGTTGAAACGAGCTTACGGCGACACCGTGTTATCGGTGGAGAAGACGACAGGTGCTTGGGCCGGAGGATCTCGGAGGCGTGATGATTTATATCGCGTTACGACGGTCGGAGTAAAAGCTCGGCTGCCGGCGAGGCTGACTGATATCGAATAGCGCAATACGCAGCGTGTGACGTGACGCAACATCCCGCCGGGCCGGGCCCGATTTTTCTCCTGCGGGATGTCAATTTTAGGAATACCGCCGCCTCCATGGCGCAGTCTTCGGAAGTATCTTCTTTATTAAAAAGAATTCGATTATGTGGAATTTGTGGTTATTTCAGAGTCGATATTTCAGAGATGACACGAGTGGCTTTTTGTCCCGGTGAAAGCTTGAAATTAGCGTTGAGAAATTAATTTTTTTATCGGGTACGATTTAATGACGTGGAATTCGTGATTATCCGGATTCTCGCTGTTAAAGGGCTAAAAATGATACATCTTTTCGCGAGCCCCTTCTGATCGTCCGTTTGAAAAACAGCGTCAATAAATAGATTTTTGATCAAAAAGGACCGTAACAACATGAAGTTCGCGGTCACTTTTTTTAGTTAAATTTTCGCCGTTAAAAAGCAGCAGAGAGTCGCAAACGCTCGAAACGAGCAGGGAGGAGAATTCCGCAATTCTTTGATTCGGGGAAAATTCAACTGTCGCAAGACCACGTGTATCGGTGGTATCGATTGCGCTAGTCCAGCTTGATCGAACACTGCGCACGACAACTCACGTTCCATTATAACAACTTTACAGAGAAATGTGACGTGGCGCCTGCTGCGTCCTCTTACGCGGGAGGACGCTGAGAAACTCGCCCCGCTGTAAGGAGACATTCCATACCGCGCGACGTTCGACGCGCGCGTCGCCGAAATGCCAATGGGACCAGTTTAGCCTCTCATTCCCACCTGGCCAGGTAATTAAGCAATGAAGCCGCAGCTAAGCCGAGAAATATCGAGCCGGTAACTAACGATGACGGCACGCGGCTCCGTCGTAAATTCCGACGCTCTAACGTGGCGCTTGAAAGCGATCCTGAATTCGCGACCGTGCAATCAATCGATCGAGGTCCGATACACTGTCGCTGTCGTAGACGTTCCATTCACCGTTCCACCGAGTAGCGCGTTTTCGTTCGAATGTAAGACGACGTAACACAGAAGACGGTGAGTTTAATCGCCGTCGTAAAGCGCAGAGGGTGATGAGCGAGCGCTCGTCTCGGCTCGAGCCTCCTCGCGATGTATCGCGGCGCGTGTTTTAGCAGCTCGTGAATTTTGATATTGTTGACATTTAACATTGCGCAGCACACTATGGACTCCGTGCGTGATGTAAGACTAATCGATTTACGGTCGCCAGCCGGACGAAAGCTGTTATTGGAATTTCGGCACTCGCCCGGCCAATTTCGCCCGCCGTAAAGATAATAGGACGGACGCCCGGATCAGCCTGCGGCGCGCTCGTTACTTCAGGGTTATCTAATAAATGTAGTTTGAAGCGGAAGTACCTTGGGACTTCTTTGTGAATTCTTCACATGACGAAATCCCATCGGTGTGATTTCCCGTCAACATCATTTCGTTGATCTCACCATATAAATCGAGAAAAAATTTCTTACAGAACTATCTTCCATTATCTGAGAAGAACAGAAACCAAGCGGGAAACTCGATGTTGCAGGCCCCAAAAAAGTCCTGTGGGAGGCTTCTACCCAACCGGTTGTTCTCGATTGTCTCAACTTGAGTTTCAATAGATGTTTCGATGAATTTTTCGCGGTAGCAGAGAGATATCATTTCTCGTCCACTCAGCGCGAAATCGTCGAGGTTTCCCGTCAGCTGAGAGAAAAGCCGGCGGATTTTTGTTGCGCAAAAGCGCAACGCGCCGCGTTAACAACCACTCTCTCGAATCCTGTAAACTCATCGGAGAGCCCGGAATGCCTAGGCACAATGATGCTCGACGATCAACGTCGGGTCATCACAAATATTACGCGACGAGCTTGGTCATCGGCAACCGCGAGTCGACGCGCTACTGTGGAGCCCAATAAAAGTTTACTGGCAATGGCGCAAGTACTTGGCGCAAATGTCTGAGCTGTTTGCTAACGGATGAGCGAGTAGTAGTGGCGCAGAGAAGTCCTCGATCTCCGCGCATTTCGTGCTCGCTTTTTGAAGCAAATTTCTAAAAATCATATCGATAAACGTCTCCCTATCCAGTGTCGTCTCGCGCGTAATTGCCGCAAGAATTATCGGATCTAAATTAATCGCCAATTCATCGTTATTCTGACGAGTCCTTGACTAATAAATAATTACGATGCGTCTGCAATTAGAATCCATCGACGAATTCTTCGCCGAGTCGAAGCGAAGGTGTCTTGTTCGCGCGGTATGCCGCAACCCTAATCACGCGAGAATATGATTAGCCTGACGACGGAGTTTGTACGTCTCTTAGCTGTCGCTTCTTTTTCCCCGCTGTCAATATAGTTTATAATGGTTTGCGACATCGCGTCGAAGAGAGCGCGAAGTTTAATAAAAATCGAAGATTAATCGCTGCGCATGTTTTATCGTCAGATTCATTCCTCTCGAAAATGATTGGCTGAAGAACGTCTATTTGACGTTTGAAAGTTTTACAAGCTTTTTTCTACGTTAAACCTGTCAATTCCATTTTCTTCTTCGATGAATTTCCGATATTTATATGTTGTACTTGAAAAAGTAAGTTGAACAATGCTGACCTAAAATCAATTTTTCGTAGCTGTTAAATCGCCATGGAAAAGAATATATTAAGTATATTCGGTTTAGCGCGAAATCAAAATTATCACGATTACATATAAGGATAAATTCGTTTCGTCATATTTGAAAGTTTGAGATTCTCGCTGATTTGTGCTGTTCCACGAATCTGTTTTCAAATTCTGTTTTCGTTATGCTCTCTTGACCTAATTTCTATTTTTTTAATCGAGATATACGCTGGACTCGATGTTCTTCGAAACATCCACATTAGACTCATGATGATCATGCGAGCGATGATGAGTCGTTAGAAAGTCTAATGAAGCTCCAATGCGGGCGGCATAAACATGATCGCGAAAAAGGATCGTATCTGGGCTCGGCTTGATGCGTGAGAAAAATTTCTCTGCGATCGCAAGCCAACACGCACGATGATTTCAGACGCGTGGGCGCTGGTTCTACGTGGGAAAAAACTCCGTTCGCGTTTTCCACTCGGTGAATATTTTCCCGAATCTCGAGAGCGCATGCCTGGCCAATTAACAATTAACTTTTCGAGTGCTGTGGACACATATGTGCCTAAGCGTATGAACACACGCTTAAATTTTTGTATCCTTCTCAATTTTTCAAGAAGAATTTTTTCGACTCTTCAAGAAATTCCATCGGCTCACTTACGGTAGCTGGAAATGTCCCTTCCTCAGCGATCGATTAGCTCTAGAGTGCTTTGCATTTGAAGAATTAAAGGACTGGATTGTAAAGGACTAAAGGACTAACGGGCTAGTTTAAATGGTTAAACGCATACAATGAATAATCGTACTAAATAAATGCATGTAATACTCACGAGACACGCGAGAAGTAAGCAGAATATTTCTCGAGAATGTCTCGTATCGACAGCCGCAGCATGCGGCGTCGCAGATGCTGCTCTTTTCTATTCTTCGTTCCCACTGTATTTAAGGTTCTGTGCATAATCATAGAAAAGGTCGAAATCATGGTTGGAGTGACCTTACATCGTCGCTGCCGGCCATTGTCAGGACCAATTAAGACATGGTCCTGCCGGGAAAACGGCGAAATCAACCGATGTGACACTTCTTTCGCGTCTGCCGTAATGCTCTTATCGATCTGACCGCGACAGACAGTAGATAACTCTCTGGGACACCGCAATTATCTATGAATGAAGTTCGTTTCTCGTGAGGCTAACCTTTCGCTTAGTATTTAGTTCTCCATTGAATGAAGGGGCTCGACACAACAACCGCAGAAAAGGTCGTGATCGTATCCCGTGCGACCTTCGCCGGCTGTTTCTACCGGATAAGATGTCGGTGGGATACTCTCGATATGATCGATTGAAAAATCGAGTCTTCGATCGGCTGAAACTCGAATTACGCGTAACATGTTGCAAAGATAGAAAAAAATTTCCAAAGGACACGATTTTCAGAGAAATGTGCGTTGGAAAATTATAAGAATTGTATTAAATTGAAACTTGAAGTGTGTAGAAACTTCTGAGTAAAAACAATTGAGGTTTACTGTTATTTTTTTAATTATTTTAAATTTACCTTAGATCTACTTTTACTCAATTGACCTTAAATTGAAATTGAATAAATCATTTTTAAGTGACAATAAATTTAAATTGAAACCTGTAATGTGAAAAGATTTTTTACATCGTAAATTTCAGTTCTACTTTTTCGAA